TTATAAGTAAAAATGGAACAAGTATGTACATCCATAAACATAGAAGGTTGATCGTTCCTGGCAATGCTGTGCAAGAGCTTGGCTTGTCGTCTCATCTGTAGACGTGGAAAGCAGCTCCGAGGCAGACTTGCATGGTTGGTTTAGTGCTATTGAGCCTGCAACATAACCAAAAAAATCAAGAGACTCACGAGCACCTCTTTAAAACTGAGCCTGTGGGGAAGCTGCAAAATGAACAGTAACTACATCACGTAACGGCATGGAGAACAGATCTTAAAGTAGAATTGGAACAAGCACATACACGAACAAACTATCGCTGGCAATGCTGTATAAAACTGCGCTTGTCATCTCACCTCTAGACTTAGAATGCAGCTTCGAAGCAGAAGCAACTGACTGTTCAGGTGCTATGAGTCCTGCATGATAAAAAAAGGCTTTATAAAGAACTTGAAAAATTTGTGACGACAAACAGCAATCAAATATTCGGCCAACCTTTACATATTTGTGCCTCGGTGTGATGGCTAATGAGTAAATAAAATAATAGAGCCAATAAGCCTTTCCAGTGCAACGGAAGGTCACAAAATGCCTACAAGGATTGTCTCAACGTCTGGTATTGAGGCAAGCTTCAAGAAAAATGTACATGACTGTTGTCTTGTTGGTGGGCCTGCAGGTTAAGAAAAAATTCCATTAAAATCAACTGTCTTTGGCCAGCACAGAAGGACCAGAAATTGTGAAATCAATTGATTCGTAATTCTTTAGCTTTCTGACAAATGAGCAGTAATTTAAGCAATTTTGAGAGTAATGAAAACATCAAACACTGCCAAAAAGCTTTGCAAATTAGTGCTACTGGCCTCACGTATTGGTGCTGGGAAGTCCTCGTGAGAGGCGCAGGTACTTCGTTGGTCTTCCATAGAAAATACTTAATGACAAAGATATATATACCCACGGTCAGATCAGAGTTCGTCTCATCATATGCAGAAATTCTTGGTCAGATCAGAAGCAACTGGTTCTGTTCATATTCGGCAGTATGCTGTAAAGGGGCTTATTAGACTGCTCTCACCTGTTATCGGCGTAGACAACTCAATGGGTGTTCCAACAGTCAATGTCAAAAAATCAAATTGGACGTTTGAGTGATTTATACAGCGTAAGGTTGGTCTGCCAGTAGGGACGACACTGGTTTACACTGTAGATGAGCAATTTAGCCAGTGCACTACAACCGCTAGCCTGGGAACGTGCTCACGCAGTAGTGATACACGACCGCACGCCGGTACGATGCTCATCCAGATCGAAACGGGCAGGGGTGGGGCTCGAACCCAGGATCCCTGGGCTCTGCAGCGCGAGCTTTCGCTCCACGCGCGTCGAGCTGGGTGTGCGCTTTAGCCCACTCGGCCACCGATCCCCTAACAGTCAGTGTCGGTGATGCTAAAACTGCTGAAGCAATTGATGCTGTAGCTCACTACTGAGCCCACAAGAAAGAAGGTGGTAAAAACAGCAAAAACGTTTAAGCATTATATAGTAAAAACTCACATGAAACAACGGTGGGGATAACATCTGCTTTCAGATTCTTCTTTCCATTCATTCACAGAGTACTCTTGAAATTCGCCCCGCGTAAAATGATCCTGCATAAAGACGGCAACGATGAAACAAAACAACTGGGGCAGAAATAAATTGTAGAAGAATCTGGAGTTGGGCAAGTTGGTACATCTTAGATTAGAAAAGCGCCAGAAAACAAGGACAGCAGAAAGAATAGACGAAACGATGCGCTATTGTCAACTGAATTTTTATTCGGAAAAACAAACATATATACACACCCAAGCAACCATTTGCTTGTAATGAAACTTCTCGTAAGATGAATTGAAATTCCTTATCTGATAAAAGGACTGAGAAAGTGCTGATACATGCATCGTTTCGTCTATTATTTCTGTTGTCCTTGTTTTCTGGCGCTTTTCTAATCTATGGGGCAGAAATATTGTGCTAATCAGAATGAATTACTTAAATGAAAGCGGATCTTGCACAGACCTATACGTATACATACGGATACTCGATGTGAAAGACCTGCAGTACGACCACTCAATCGTTTCCTGCAGGTACTTCAATACGCGGAAAATACGTTTTACGTGTAATGCTGAGCTTTACAACACTACGTCAAAGGTCACAAACTGAAAGCAAAAGAGCGAAACGAATTAAATAGGCTAGCTAGAAAGGCTAGTCACGCAAACGAACAATGGCGAGGAAAGTGTTTTTGCGAGTGCGAATAGTTCGGAACCAAAACAGTCGTTCAAACGGAAACGCAGCATTATAAAGTAGTAAGACTAAAATTACCTCACATATTCTTGCCCCTCTCGAAGTCAGCCTTTCGCGGCGCATACGTAGAAGCCACTGAAGTCGGCGGCGGACGAACGATCGTCCACATGGTATCAAAAAGAAAGCCTTCCTGTTTTGTTTTCTTTTTGTTTTTGCGCGATTAGGACAGTTTGGTACGCAACAGCTGGTCATTGCCGCAATGAATCGACACTGCACATCCCTCGACATAACACCACCAACAAAACTTGCAATCGCTGGAAATGAACACTAAAAGAACAACGACTATGGCAGCTGGCGCTACGACGCAACAGGTCCCAAGGAGATTGCCGGGAGGCGGCGGTGGCGGCGGCGCAGTCATGTTCGGCGTTTCGGCTTCTCTGCAGCGCGTGGATGCTTTGGAACCTCGTGATCTCGTTCACCGAATAGAGATGTGAAGGGCGCGGAGAAATCGGATGCGCAACGGGTGCGTAGGGGGGGGGGGGGGGGTGTCCATGAGGCCTGCCCCCCCCTCCCCCAAATCTTCTATTTTGCTGGGGTCTCCTCTTCCCACTCCCCCTTATACAGCATTTTGTCATGGGTGCCCCCCCCCCCCCCTCCCTCCCCCCGAAACAAAATTCTGGCTACGTGCCTGCCTCAATCACAAATCGACGATTCTAATGGGCTGCTCACAATGTACGCACTTAAAATATCTGAGGAGGTAGCCGAGTCCACAGAAGCAGCCAACGCGGTCATACCTACGCTGTACTGTCGACCGGGGGCTCTGAGTTGGACACTGGACGAGAAAGTCGGTCACCTCTCCGACTTTCTCGCCGAGTGTCTAGCTTAGAGCCTCGGAAAAGCCGTCGTGTCATTATCCTCGTTGTTTCCCTCCCTTTTTCCTTTTTTCTCAAATGTTTTTTTTTTCTTATTGCCAAAATAACTTATTTTCTAATTCCAATTTTCAAGAGACTTGTCTATTCAAATTTTCAGCCAACTGCTGTATACAAAATAATATATCCCATAAATACCTGCCAAATTACTACATACTTACAACTAAACAATTTAATAATTTTTATTAAAACAAAGTGTTGGTTTACAAAATGCCAACCAAATCGCTTTTTCCGTCTAAATGTCCGTATTGCGCAGAAAAAAAATAGGTATTGGTCTCTGACAAAATGCACATTTAAGAAAATTTTTAACTATCTGTAGAATTCGTTTTTACTTACCTTTTAGGAATTGACTGTTACTTATTAAATTTAAAGGTATAGATTCAGTAGGAAATTTACTTGACATGTTGGAAAACCACTAAATTGACCTACAACAAATATAAGGCAGGCGCAGAAGTTTACGGCGATCCAAGAAACGTTCAAATATGACGCATTTTTAAGCTTCGGTTTCTCATCGGAATGCACTTCTGCGCCAGCGGTCCTGCTCCCCATGATCAAAGCACGCCGCAACTGCCTGGCCTTCCTTGTAGGAGAAAAAGAATTGTGGTGCTCGCCAGTGAAATAGAACGCTGTACTGTTCAAATGAAAGCGCAATAAGCGTTGATTCGCGGGTTCGCATCTGTCATGCGAAGAACGAGTGCGGTGAGTGAGTCGTCTTACAACTGAGGCTGTGGTGCAGAAAATAAAAAAAAAAAATTACTCAAAGGAACAGGCACACAAGGGAATGTCTCAAACTCAGCTGTCTGGTTTATTTCTTAAGCATCCTATATATACCCACACAGCCACTATCAACACACTGCTACGTAAAGATATTTTTAAGGCAGTTTTAAATACAAAGAACATATACATTCATATTTCACAAGAGAACAAACGGTCCAATTCACAATACAATCATTTTCAACCACATTCTACGTAAAGATATTTTTTTGTTCAAACCATATTAAAAAATAGATAACATATACACTTGCAACAGAACACGCGGTCAAACCCACAGTGCAATGACTTTATTATCAAGGACCACGTAGAAGGGCTCGAGGACCTACATCTGGGTGACCTCAAGAACACGGTGACTGCTGCGCTTTTTACCCCAATATGGGCAAAGTTCCCCAAATATTAACACCGCTTCAAACATCTTTCCCTCTCCCAACAAAAAAAGAACAATAAAAAAGACTGTAAGGTGTTCTTTACAATGTGAAGAACATTTTGCCGTGGCTTCCAAATTGCATCGAGGCTTGGCGTATGCAGTTTCCGATAGACTTTATCCCTATTGTTGCATTAACTACTCTTTATGTCATTCTGCTGAGTTCTAGACGTTCTCTTTCGTGTATGCTCCTACAACTTAAAGTGTTTTCTTTTTTCTTTTTGGCACCACAGTTTCATGCGTTAAACGACATGATGAGCCCGTATAACATTTATAATGCATCTGAGACGCTACGACGTTTACAGCGGATGTGCTAAAACGTCTTATATGGTTATATCTGATGGAAAATTCAACGCAAATGTAAAACCTTCACGAACCAAAGAGAATTTAGTGTTCGTACTCTTCTGAAGATGGTGAGGCCTTTTCAACTTTCTAGTTAGCGCGGCCTAGCGGTGCTTGGGCATGGCCTCAGATGATGTACAAAAACCTCAATGTGACGTCAACGATGACCCGTTAGCTTACTAATTCCGCTTCTTGCCACACCGTCACCGCGTGCGTCCTACAACGCTATTAAACAGGTCGGATGTCCAGTTGAATTGTCAGTGTTTGCCGCAACTGTCGCTGCAAGATTGGGTTTAGATGACGAGGACGGTATTTGACTTCGGTGTCTCTTCTCGTCGTAGGCTGGGAAAGAATGACAGACATCTCTCGCAGTAAACAACTATCAACCACAACATTCCCAAAAATAGAACGAGTCCTCCTTGAAGCCGATACAAGTTGTCGTACGACCCCGTTCGGTCACGAAAGATTCCTGAAAGAGATAAGTATCACGGATGTAAATTTTTTAAATAAAAAGTACGTCTGAGCAAATATCACTGCATGAGGCGCTCGAAAAATCTCCAATTAGCAGTAATAATATTTATTGTAGTAATAATCTTAGCAGTAGTATTAGTAGTTGTAGTAAACGTAGAGGCAAAGGTATTTGTGGTAATATCAGTAGCAGCAAGAGCAGCACTATCGGTGATTGGAGTAGTAGTGCTACTAGTAGTAGTATGATCAATGGCAGAAGTAGAAGTATTAGTTGTAGTAATATATTAATAGCAATAGTAGTAGGAGTAGTAGGCGGAGATGTATAAATAGTACTAGTAGTGGAAAAAGTATATGTATCATTATTTGAATATGTAGTGCTAATTTATTTATTTATACAAATACCTGCTGCGCCGTTAAGCATTAACCAGAAAGGTACATGGATCGCGTACGCACAATGAATATATTCAAAATACATCCATGTACACCAAAGGTGTTAGACACATAAAAGGGTTACAGGGATTACGTACACAAAATGAATATATTCGGAATTCATACAAACACAGTGGAAAGACAAACAATAAAAAAGACATTTTTGTACTTCAGCACAACTTTAGGCATTTTGCAGGGGAGTACATAGATTGTGTACACATAATGAACATATTTAATATGCATGCACGCACAAAAAAACGCGATTACATTTTTATAGTTTAATCCGACTCTATAATCTCTTATAAAAAATAACGTCATCAGAAACCAAGATTAGCTCTTTGAAAGTGAATTCCACTCCCTAATAGTTCGAACAAAAAATGATGAAGAAAAATGAGCCAGTTCAATAAAGAAACTCTGCATTTTTTTTCGGGTGATGTAATCTTGCAAATATATGGCGCGGCTCTATTATATACAGACTTTGTTTAATGCCTGTCCGTCAATGACACACAGTATTAGAAAATTGTAAATTTAAACACCTTCTCCGATGTTTAAGGGTGACCCGACCTAATTTACTTCCATGTTTGTACAACTTGTGTATGGGCTGTAATTTCCTGCAACACACGTTAATGCCTGATTCTGGAACTTCTCTAACTTTTTACTGGGTAACCCTGAAAGGCGTCCCAGAGGGCACACGCATATTCTAGAATTGACCTGGTAAAAGAGAAGTATAATGTCTGTTTCGTGCTACGTGATTAAAGTTCCTACGAACTAATTAAGTGAGACATTTTACTAGCCTTGGCAAAAGTATAATCAATGTGATCATTTAATTTTAAATTGGACGAAAGATAAACCCCCAGTTGCTTATAGCATATAGTAATAGTGTTGATAGAGGTAGACAAACAGTGGAATATTTTAATTCAAGTTCCCTTCATTTAAACTCGCGGATAATTTCAATCTAACATGCAGGTCCCGTCCTATGTGAAGGGAACTGCTGGTAATTGAAACTTTGCATTATTCGAACAAAGTTTTGGTCCCCCTCGGGTTAACATTAACGCGATTCCACTGTAGTAGCACTAGTACAAAACCGAATATGAGCGTGTATTTAACCGGGTATGAGCCGACATCGCCATTCACCTGAAGCCCCGAGCTGTACTGCACTGACCCGATTGGTCTCTCGACGTTCAGACCTAATGGTCAGTTTTCATTTGCTAATTCACGGGCCAATCCGCACTGGCGGCGACCGTATTTTGGAGCCGGGTGTCGAAATCGACTAGTCGCTATCGGAAAGTCTGGATATGGGTCCCGGACCGATCCAGATCTTCCGCCAGAAACGACCGGATTTCGCCCACCCGACTTCGAAATCCACTCGCAAACGGCGCAGGTCCGCCCGCGAATTCACAAGTGTGAACACGCCATAAGGCTGGATATTACGGCGCGAATATTCAGCTAAAAACTGAAAAACTTCTCCCGATGGTACATCCAGTTTGGGCGTGACGTAACAGTCACTGTCCTGACGCCACAAGAAGAGGAGAGAAAACTCGTTTTTGCTTTTTACAGCATATTTGCTGCAAGAATATTTTCTACATATTTGCTAATAATCCTTATTTTATGGGCACCTAAACTTCCTCCTGAATGATCTCCTTTAAACAATCGGCGAATCAGCTCGCCATCTCGGCTACGCTCGCGTCCATTGGAGGGAGTTTAGAGGAGTCCTTTTAGAATACCTTTAACTTGCCAGCAGGTGTTTCAAAGGCTATTTGAAGTTCGAGTGAATACTCAGTAACCAATTTCAATTCTGACGGAGTGGGGTCCTGATCACCGCCCTTTCGTTCCGACAAAACAATGTTTCAATTAAGGAGTAACTCCTTGATTAGCGCGAAAAAGAACAATTTTTAACACTCGGATTTCAAAAAAAGACAAAAGAAAACTCAATAAAACACTTAAATAACAATTTCAATATATCTTGTCTCGGAGAGTTTAGTTTCTACCAAATCATATGCACCAAATAGTAAGTAATATTTCTGTCCGCACTTTATCGTACTCACCCACAAAAACAGGACTGCAAAATAGTAGAGGCACCCTCACGAGGCCAATGATACCATGAAGAAACACAAAGTACTCGACACCGAAGTAGTCGGCCGCTAGCACTTCGTGTTGAAGAATCGAACAAGAACCAAAACACGACGCCAACGCAACAATACACCCGATGGACCAGTAGGTGGCTGCTAAAGGCGTTATCACCATGACAACACCCGTAAGGAGCTGGGTGGACGCCATCAAAGTACTACGGCGAACATATTGCTTGTCAGAAAAAAAGGGAAGGCACAGGCAACCTACCAGATTAGTTGATGAAAAACACGAAGACATCCAAACGGCATCGTCGAGAGAAAGGCCCTTGTCTATGGAAAAGTCGGTGATTGTTGTCAGGAACATTAGGTCTAGTGTGAACGTAGCTGCTGTCGACCAGACGACAACATGAAAGACCGGAGAACGAATTATATCACTAATTGCCCGCGTGTTCTGAGTTGATTTATAGAAAGGCAAAATACATGCGGGATCTTCGAGACCATAGACAGATGTGAGCGGACGAAGGGATGAGGTCGATCCTTTCCTATCGCTGAGGTTCCTCCAGGGGGGAACCTTAAGCAAGCAGACGAGTGGAGTTGTGCTAATCGAAAGGGCACCGAGGAGGAGCAGAGTATTCGGAAAACCATAGGCACTTCTTAAATACAAGAGCAGCTTTGGAAAGACAAAACCTGCGGCTGTTATTCCTGTTGAAGCAATTCCTAAGGCAATGCTTCTGCACCTCTCGAAATACATTACCGTAAATATTTTAATAGCCAAGAGCACTGCGCCGTTCCCGATACCTGGAAAAAAATGAGTTTAGAGTGAATTTTCTTGTTACGATGCCTGCATATCTCATTTGTGTATGCATGTTTTCTGGATTTACCATGACTTAGAGCTATTGCTAAGCACACAAAAGAAAAACCTTCATTGGTTGTATCATTAATTAATTAGTAATCTGATTATTAACAATAATGAATTAGCTGAGTATTATAATAATTAGTTAATTATTCAACTGATCCATTCATTAAATGATTTATTGATTCGTTTTACTTTATGCTTCCAAAAGAATAAAACGATGTTCACTTCTTAGGGTATAGGGTATTGGGAATTATTTATTTTCCTATTACAACGCAAATTGTGATATTGCTTTCGCTATATGTGAGGAGGCTGGAGGATCGGTGGCCGAGAGTTTTAACACACCGCATCTTGGAGCACGGGGAGCGGAAGCTCGCACTGTAGAACTCAGGGATCCTGTTTTCAATCCCCACCCCTGCACGTTCCGATCTGGATGAACATCGTACCGGCATGCGATCGTGCATTGTGATGCGCGTTAAAGACCCTAATCTAGCAGTCGTACTGCACTGGCTATATTTCTCATCCACAGCGTAAACCGATGTCCCCACACCACAAAGGCAGACCGTCCTAATACTGTCTAGACACGAACGCCTAACTTGCTTTATTTTTTGAAGACAGTCTATGCTCATATAATTATTTCGAGCCGTCCGATTTCGAAAGAAACACACTGTATAGACAAAACAAAATTGTGCCATGTCACTTCAAATGTAATTTAAATAACTGGGGTTGTTGTTATTTTATGAGCAGCAGACAACGTTTTTTTAGCCCCACTGAAAACCAGGCAATAAACCATTTCCGTGATTCACTGCCACCCGGTGGCTTATATAGCAGTTTAGTTTGTGCCATATCAGTGGCGATAATGAACTTGCATTTTATCAGGCACCGTCACTTTCACAAATATATGGCAGGCGATTAAGTGCCCCCCCCCCCCCCCCCCCCCCGGGCAGTTTTTTTCTCTGTCGCTCTCAGTTTCGATTGTGTCGAAGATACAACAGGTCAAAACGAAGCTCCAACCTACTTGACAACTCCATAAAACTCTATACACAAAAGGTTTAAGGTCGCCCACGGATTTAGTGAATCTTTGTTAGAAATGAACGTTTAGGAAGCTTTTGTGTTCGATTAATGCTTCGCGTCCTATTAACCCCTCCAATGTACAGGCCTCGCATCATCCGCTTCGGAGCACCTTCGGCGTCTTTCTTCGTCACTCACTAGAAGGCCGCCATTAGCATGGCGTAAATGGAATTCGTTAGATAAAGAGGGGAATCAAAGTGGCCACACTGGATTTCAAAAGGGTCTATTCTAGAAAATAAATGCATGATCGTTTGTAGCGAATTAATTATTTGTCCCTGTGCATCTATAATATTCATAATGTAGCTGTGAATAAAGGAGAAAGTTTCTACGTACTGTGAGCGACCCCAAGAGTGATAGACATCCAGATAATATTGGGCGCAAATCCAGCTGCCATGATGCCGATCCATCCCGTAATGCTCCCTACAATTGCGATGTGCCTGATGGAATATTTCTTTTTAAGTAGTCCCACGGTGAGACCTTGAAAATAAATGGGAATAAAAACAATTGATTAAAAATTTTCTTCCTATATTTACGAAAAAGGGATATATAGTTACATTACAAGCAACACAAGGATGTCATTCTGCTCGGTCGTCGAATTAACGCTTTCATTTGAACTTCTTTTTTAAACAAACTTTTATGGAAAATATTATTGTCGGTGCTCTCTTACCAATAATTGATGGTCTCGAGAACTGTGACACTGTATATATGGGAACGCTGCTATCTTCACCTGTTCTTCGTAAAATATATTAATTACAAAAATATCAGCGGCCGATATGACTGCGCCTCTTTTAGTATAGTGCAAACATTAACACGTCACCAGTAGTTTTTTTTTTTTTTTTGAGGCCGAATCGTTTAATGTTGTGAAGTGCGCGTAGTGAGAACGCGGCGTTAGCACCTTGTCAACACGCGAACAAAAGTAGCGGACACACACAGCAACGCCGGCCAGGAAACACCACCGATCTGAGGGCATACTTTTTCCTATACATACCAGATGATAAAATTCAGAAAATTGTTTTCCCCAAGACCAGCTAACTACAGGATTTCAATAACTTGAAACTCGTTTTATGCGTCATCGGGTTACGGACAGCATCTGCCGAATGACACTGATCGCATACTGGTAGCCACTGTCTTTAACTGGCAGCACAAAGCGAAGTGTCAAACTTTTTGTGCCTTTCATCTTTACGTAACTCTTGAACCCCAGTATTTGTTTTCATTTCGTGCTCAAAGGTCTAATTATTGAAAGCACGAAGTTATCTTTCCGTAAAAGAAAAAAAGATGAGCAGTCCTGTGTGAATCGACAGCAGAGATACTACAATAGCTGCGACACATCAAGGCGTGTCGCAGCTGTCAATAGCCCATAAAGAGTTGTCGCTGTAAAACATTAATCAGTCTAACATACCTTCTTCGTTTTTCGTCCAGGTATTTACAGTTACAGATTTAAAGTATAAAGATTAGACGAAAACAAAGTGAACAACCTAATTATTCCGGATAATATGCTACCGTTACACGCAGCTTAAGAAACGCAAGTCATGGTGCGTCTCAATCACCTTGTCGCTCCTCAGTGAACCGCATTGCGTTCCTTTACGATAAAAACTCCGAAGCAAAATTATGAAGCGTGAACATAAGCCATACCCTGCCTTTATTAATCTCTCATTCCTTGTATTTATTAGTAGTTAACGTTTTCTGTCGTTCAGCATCAAAGTTTGTGTCCGACAAAACAAGAATCCTAATTAACAAATTACAAACTGAACATTAGCGTTTCCCAGGTTCCCTTAATGGTCACAATAAAAATTTATGCGATTTTTTTTTTTAATGAAGGGATGGCAGAACGGTTCGCATCAAACATACTCAAAACTCGCCCAGAACAAAATGTAGTGTTTTCCTTTAATTGAACGAGCTATTGTCACCTGTTGCGTCAAAAACGGTGCGAGAACTTAACAATTACACTGCTTCAGTTGACTAGTATTTGGAACAGCTCTTAAAAGTGTCTAGAAGGCTATACGCTACATTTAAGTAAAACTTACCACTGAGACCAGTTATGCATATCATAACGCTCTGCGGCCAAGAAGCGGTCTGACGGTCCACCCCAAATTCATTCATGAAAGCGATATATAGAAGCCCGGACGATCGCTCTAAGGCTATTGAAATAAAAACCACAAGAAAACAAATCGCTGCAACGCTCCAGCATGTGTCCACTGCTGGAACTGGCGGCTTTCGTCCCACAACGCCCGCGTGTGCCATCTTTGGAAGCTTGCGCCTGTACAAGGATGGAGGCAGTGAAAACGCAGTTAGTGACTGATACAACCCGTGTGTGTTGCCTTAGGGGCCTCTGCATTCTAAAGAATCTTCACTTCAATGTCATTCGAGTCAGTATACATCGGTCAGACTGGCCGATGCTTCAACGATCGCGCACGTGAACTTGACGCGGCCACACGAGCAATCCCATCTGGACGTCTGGAAACACACTGCAGCCGCTGCCATTGCTCCCTGTCATTTAAAGACACAAAATTTCTGGCCAGATACCCAGATAAAATATCCAGGGAGCTGCACGAGGCTTTTGAAATCAAAGCAAAAGGCAAGATGTGCGCAGGTGACACGTCTTTAGCCTTATCGACAGAAGAATTTCATTTTCTAGAAACGGGTCTACACCGTGCCTAGTCGTAACGAAAGGTTTTTCACGGCTACATAAGGGATTCGTTTTAGAGCGCAGTACTTAGGCGCCCATTTCCGGCTTGAGCGGCGTCGCCGTCGCCGTCGGTGTAACCGTCAGGTCACGTGACCCCCGTGAGGTCACGTGACCCCCACAAAGTCACGTGACCCCGGTGACATCAAGTGACCCTGGTGACGTCACGTGGGCACCGTGAGATCACATGACCCCGGTGACGTCACGTGACCCCTTCTTTTTAATATAATATTAAAGCAACGCCTGGAAAAGGAAAAACAGCGTGTAAAGCACAAATAAAACGAAAATAACAAAAAAAACTGAGCAGGACAAGCGCTGACACTTATCTGAACGTTCCATGAAAAATCATACTAAAATAAGATGAATCGAGACGTGTTCATAAAAAACTAAAATAAGATTAATCATACTAACTAAAATAAAATGAATCAACACGTGTTCATAAAAAAAAAAATCTCACTTTGCTCTGCACAATGATTAAATTTTGACTGAAAGAGCGATCTCGCACTTTCTTTTTGAAAGCGTAAATCTCTAGTAGCTTCTTTAAATAGTGATTCTTGCCATCCAGCAATTATTACTTTTCGAAGTTAACCGGACACTCGCATTCTGCGCAGTGGTGCGGTGACTGGTCTCTACAAACAACGGCTGGAGCCGTTGTTCGTAGGGACCAGTCATGCTCACGCAACTGATCATCTACACGTCGGCCTCCTTCGTCGATGTAGGCTCTTCCGCGTGTAAGCAGTCTTGTAAACAACGCCAAGCATGCACTGTACATATACAGTTTTAGTGTCTAGGATACCAGAGGGCCTTATTCTCGCTCTTGTTAGCTGCTACTCCAAAACACAATTGTGCAAAGTATGCTCAAAACAGCCTTCTGTTTTTTTTGTTTTTTTTTTTGTGTGTGTGTTTTAATCATGCTGGATCTCCTAATGCCACAGATGGGTCCAGCACAGCAAGGCCCACTGAAGCATAGACGTAAGCGATCTAGTTTTGTAAATTGTTTTGCCACTTGATGTACTTGCGGCCACCAAGACCGTGGACGTAAATGTGGTCTGCACATTTGTCACCGTTCCGAAGTTGCGCTTAGATGTTATATTACAGAAAACCGCGTTGCACTCAGGTATGGTCTTTGTTGGCGTTTGTTTTCGTTGATGAATCTTAAAAAAAGGCTCAGAAGTTCCTTCGCCTTCGGATGTAAATGTTCGTTGCCGAGTTTAACAATTTCTCTAAACCTTAATGCCAAAAGCTTTTTAAGAGCGCAGCTCTGAGACGCCGTTCTCCGGGTGTTGCGGCGCCGCTGCCGGCGTCGACGTAACTGCGCTAAATTTAGTGGGAAAATTGACGTCACGTAACCTCAACACCAATTCAATTATCCGCTAAATATAGCAGAAGAAATGACGTCACATGATCTGGTGTCATGTAACCTATGAATATCTTCAGTTTCTCCGCAAGATTTGTCGGGAAAATTGACGTCGCGTGATTTCAACACCAATTCAGTTTCCCCACTAAATTTCGCGGGGAATTGAATTGCTGTTGAGGTCACGTGGCGTCAATTTTTTAGCTAAATTTAGCGGGGAAACTGGGAGGAGGGGAGCGTATGGAGGAGGAGGATGGGAGGGTTCGCAGGACGAGGAGGGAAGGGAAAGGGGGAGGAGGAGGGGGGAGGTACGGAGAAGGAGGCGTAGGGGAGAAGAAGAGGGCAGAGGATGATGAAAGGAGGAGGAGGGAAGGAGGAGGGGAAAGGAGGGGAGGACGAGGAGCAGAGGAGGACGGGAGGAGGAGACGGCACAGAGGAGGCGGAGAGACATACCTCCCCTTCGCACCCTCTCCTCCTCCTCCTACAGAGCTGCGCTCTAATTTCGCCTTACAAAGAATTACAAAACGTCTTTTATTTGTTTTTCTTGTTTTTCTTACGCCAAGCGGTGGCCTCACCACTAGGCGTGAGCAGTACTCCTAAATTATTTGTTGAGCTGAGGATATTCTTTTCATCGAAAACAAAAATCCAAGCGTTCCAGCCATGATCTCTAGTTTTCACCAGCGTCCAACCCCGAAATTCGTTAAATGAAGTTCGTAGGCATTCATTATCAGGGTTCGTCAATCTTCCACATTGACAAATAATACAGCTTTTTCTTCAAATACAGAAGTTCCTTTACAAGTCTCGGACAGAAAGTCCTCCACAGCACATTGCGTCCGTAAAATGTATCAACCCTGAGCTCGTGTTCAGCGCTCGCGCCAAGATTCGTTATCGCATTTACTGACAGTGATACCATAGCCTCCTTTATTGCAGAAAGCCTGTCAATTGCACGACGGAGGCAATGAGCGCCATGCCGCGGGAAAATGGCAAAGAGCAGCCCCGAACGGTTATTAATAAGGTAGCGCAGGGCCATTCCGGGGTGATCCCTCAGCCTGTTCCAAAAATACGTGCGGTGGCCTCTCCGCGAAACAGCAGCAAACCACAACGGAGAAAGAATTGGGGATTCTACAGGCGCATGAAGATACGGGAGGGGGCGGATGAGCGGAGGATCGACGTAAACTTTTCTCCTTTTCCGAAAAAAAGCAAATAGTAGCGCGTCCGTGTTTTCAGATTTTACCGCTGAGGCATTGTTTGGCGCGACCCGAGAGACATCCTGAGCACGCCCTTTTCCCTGATCTCCCTTCCCCTTCACAGCGGCCTCGTTCTTCCGCGATTTGATAGGCGTTTTATAATGAAGAAAGCTATGGTGGTATATGTAAAAGTAGAGTTTGTTCTACCCCTTGCTGGGTACCGATTTGCCCTCATAAAGGAAGCCCACATCTCTCCTAAATATTACCATTTTTTCTAAAAAAAAAAAACAGGGTGTTGCGGCTTTGCAGTGCGAGCTTTCGCTTCGCCAGCTCTGAGCATTAGTGTGCTTAATCTCTGGGCTCTCGGTGCTCTTTATATTCTTAATTGTAGGAATGAGATACATTTAGCTGTCTTAGAGCGCAACCCAGGCGAAAAGAAAATGCTCCAAAGAAGAAAGAATTGTACAAACAATTTTCCTCCTGTTTATCTTCTATTTTAAATACAGAGCTTAAAATTTTGATTTCTACATGCGTCACGCCAATTTTGACATTCTTCAACAATATATTGAGTAGCTAAACCTCAAATGACTCACTTTTTTTAACCGTAAAACAACAATAAACTAGACGTTCGTATTTAGACAACGTGACTTTAGACTGTCAGTGAATGGCGACACTGCTACTCGCTGTAGATGAGAAATTTAGCAGTGCATTACAACTACTAGCCTGTGGTCTTTTAAACATGTCTCATGCTGCGGGCTACACGACCGCACGCTGGTACCAAGCTCATCCAAATCGAAACGGGCAGGTGTCGTGATTGGACCCAGCAGTATCCCTAGGTTCTGCAGCGGAAGCATTCGTTTTATGTGCTCGGAGCTGCAATGCCTTGACAGACTCGGCCATCGATTTTGCCTTATTCAGCCGCATTTATTCCGACCGCTTTTATTGCGTAGCTTTCGTATTAGAGAAGATAAAAGTGGTCAACAGTAATGTATTCAAAACGAATAAAAAATATAAAACAAGGTAGGCATATTTGTTCTCGAACGTACCCCTCGTGTCTCGGATAGCTTGCCGCCACGGATCCACCGCATCTGCAGAAGAGATCAATCTGTAAACGGGGAACGTATTATTTTAGCGGGCATTTGAGAGTTGCACCAGCGAGGCCCGTGGCTTAAAAAAACATATAATTTCAAAACGTTGCAGAGGATATGCTATGAACGCCGACATCTGGACACAGACAAGCTGCCACGTAGGTGTATATTTTATTGTAAAACCCTGGCACCGCTGATTCGAAGTTTGTGTGCGGTAACGCTATCAGCAGCTGGAAACCTACAGCGTGTTTCACATTCAGACCGCGATCCCAGCCAACAACATATATGAACCGATGGCGCCAATCAAGCGTCATCAAAAATTGCATTTTCATGGCGCTCGTCGTGTTTGTTGGCTCGTTATCACTGGCTGAGCCAATCACGCACAGTAAATACGCCGTTATCCTGCTCTTTATTTTTCTTCATCCGGTGAAAGTAAACACAACAAAAAAAGACGAGCGCCGTGGGAATGCGCTTTTGGACTTCACTGGATCGCACCATTGACAGCGGTCGCGAACTAAATGTGAAACGGAGCATACCAGCAGCTCAATTGGTTGGGATGGCTCGTATATAGCGTCCGCTGCAGTACGTGGTATAACGTGAAAAATTTAGTCTACCCGAGTCATAGCGACTTTTCGTAGATCGTACTATGTGAATCGAGGGCCCTGCGGGTGACTGCTCAGTCCACGCTCAATGTTAAGACACGAGCTCCCGCTAACAACAGAAAGCGCTTTGATATTATCTACGAAACCGTCCCATTGTTAGTAGTTTTTATTTTCTTTTTCTTTTTTTTAAAGGAGAGGGGGAGGGTGGGTTGGCAAGGACGACGTTTGGAAGGTTAATAAGATGACGCTCCGCAGCTGGTGCGCGCTCTTCACTTGGCC